TCTCTCTGGTTGCCCTTCCTTCTTAAACTCTCGGTTCAAGGCCTCTTAAGTTGTTCCCTATCTAGAAACTCCTTTACAATACTCCCCTGACTCACATATCCCACATGTCTTGATGAGAATGAGCTGAAGAGTCAAACTGGTCTGCAGGAAGATTTCATGACTTACAGGGAAAAGAATGCATGAAATATCCCTACAGGTTTGGCACTGGTAACTCAAAGTTAGGATTGGTAGCTACAAAGAATAAATATTTAATGATGTGATAGCAGGTGTATGTGTATGTTTACATGTACTCATGCATATATGTACCTGTGTGTATATACATAATGTATGCATGTGAATGCATGTAGCAAGTACATATAATACACACACAAATATTTATCAAGTGCATGTTATAGTATATGTGCCTGTGTGTATATATATATATATGCATATACATATACAAATACATATATATATATGTATATATATATCAAGTATATAACAGATCATTCTACAAGAGAAAACTATATATATGATTATTGCCATTATTGCCAACTTCATGCAGACTTCAATGTCCCATGATGCCAGCATGGTGGAACTGGAAGATGGGTAGAATTTGGTTAACTAACATGAAGTCTGTGGAAGGCGGAATACTCTGTGATATTGCATTCAGAGTCTCTAGTGGTAAGAACGCTGTAGTAGATAGAGTAGTAATGGTGAGAGCCTCATGGGAAGGCCCTCTGGTGGGTACTTGGATTTCTCCATCAGTTTATGTGTCGTTGCACAACCTACTTGAGACCGGTCAATAGTTTACAAAGCTTCCAACATCATCATGGGGGTCAAAGACATATAAAAGGTACTACAGAATTTAACTGAATGAAGCCACATCATCTAAACTATGGCTAATCTTGTTATCTATGCACTTAAAAAAAGAAGATTTTATTTGTGAGAGAGAGCATGAGGGTCAGGGGAGGGACAGAGGGAGAAGCAGGCTCTCCAATGAGCAGGGAGCCCGATGGTGGGGTTTGATCCCAGGACCCTGGGATCTTGACCTGAGCACGAGGCAACCACTTAACCAACTGAGCCACCCAGGCATCCCTCTATGCAACCTTTTAGAGAACCATGTGCAATGTGCATTCCTCCTCTCTTTGTCCCCTCAAAATTTGAACTACTGTATTTGGAAAACTGATTTGTGGGTTGACCTTGTCCACAAAATTTGGGTGTTAAGATTATGTCATATGCCATCATGCATGGAATTTGGTGGATCTGTAGAACTTCAGAGCTGTAAAGGGTGTAGCTCCTTATTTTATAGGCAAGGGGACGTGATATGTGGACGGACTAATTCCCATGCTGGGAATGGCCCAGCTAGACTGCAACAGAAGTGGGAGGGAAAACCGTGGTCTTTGGCTCTCCCGTCCAGCTCCTATGATGTGCTTGGCAGAAACCCAAGCATGCAGCTTACTAAATCCCACCACCGCACACCTTTCAGAATACTAGATTCCAGAAGACTTAACTCGATCGTATGTGCCACACTGGAGACTAATAGTTTGCTGTCATTGTTTCGGGAGCCTTGGTCTGCAAGATGGCTTTCATTTATAGACAACTTATCCAATGATTATTATATTATTAGACTAATGCTTTATTTACTTTTTTTGTTGGTAAAACACTCTTGGAAGACCAAGGTATTAAAGCCTTGAAAAATAGCTATTAGACATGTCCAATTACTGTATTTCATAAAAATTTTAAAATGCAGAAATGTAGTGAACACATTCTGTATTGTGAATATGTATTTAGCTGATGGACTGAAACAGTTCAAATAGAATCATTTACAGCTTATTGAGTAAATAAAAGTGCTTCCATAAAGATTCACCTGACACCTAGCTTTTATTTCAGGTAACTAATCTCTTTTTGAAAAATTGCTTAAATTTAGATTTACATGAGAGAGTATCAGAACACCTCAGCAGTTTAAAAAGTAATTCAAATGACCATGGACTTTACGGATTTAAAAAATGTAAGAGCAGGCGGTGAATATTAACTTTTAATGGTCTCTGATAAAAAAGTTATTCAACTGTCTTTTACTGTCTGTGTTATATTAAAAGTGTTATGATATATTTCTGGATACCATTTGTAACAAGAAAAAAAGTTCATATTTACTTTTTCTTGGTGAAAGGTTTTTTTTTTTTTTTAAGCATATAATGTGTTATTTGTTTCAGGGGTGCAGCTCTGTGATTCATCAGTCTTACATAATACCCAGTACACATTATAACACATACCCTCCCCCGAATGTCCATCACCCCATCCCTTAACCCCCCTCCCCTCCTTGTTTTTTTTAGCATCACATTCTCAAATCAAGATTTCACCAGAATTTTTGCTGACTTGTTTACAAGCTATTAAGTGACTTAAAAATCAGATCCCCCCCACCCACCCATTTCATGGGGGAAAAGAAAAAAAAAGACTTCCTAGCAGTGTATGGAGTATAGCAAATTACCCTACCAACAAAAAAAAAAATGTGTTTTCATTTACACAAAAGTCAATCTGTTCACTTGGTGGAGGGCATAACTTTTGGGAGTGCAAATCTTTAAAAAAAAATCTCTTTTTTAAAAGTTATATTCCATGGTTAAGACATAAAAGTTCAGAAGCTAACATGCAAAAAGTGAGTCTGATTTGAAATACTAGGGAAATACCCAACATCCCATTTCAAGATGATGTAGTTTAAAAAAATGTTAGATTAGATGAAAAGATGCTTTTGGTCAACCTGGTAAAATAGACATATTAAAAAGTTAAGATGAGATAGGGCAAAAGAGGACCCCCCGCCATAGAGTACCAAGATCCATCGAATATTAAGGAGAAATGAGCAAAAGAGAACCCCCCTCCCATAAAGTACCAAGATCCATTGAGTGAGAAATGAGTTACAGGCCTTCCCTAAAGGACAGTCTCCCTAATGTGTAATGTGCTGGGTTGATGGAATCATGAGAACAAGAAAGGAAACTTCAAGAACAGAATATAGATTGGAGTAAATCACATATACCTTTAATATTGCCAACAGGGGTGACTGGTCCGTGTGGCGTGATTCTGTTGCTCTGGTCGAAGGCATCAGAACAAAATACCCTCTGAGACTCCCTGAACTACTTTGGTCCACTTTTGCACACTTCTCTCTTCTCATATATAGTTTTCTTTGACCAGAACTTGGAATATAAAGACGTAATAACAAACTTTTGAAGCCTCGCCTGATGGTTTTCTTATATCATAATAAAGAATACTGTGGCTATCCCTAAATTTGATTAAGAAGAAAATCAGGCCCTACCATCTCCTGCCTTTCTGGATCTCCCTTTGCCCTCAGGTCTGACAGAAGGAGAAGTTAGTAGACGGCACTAGAGTCTTCATAGTGGCAATATCAACCAGGTAATGATGCTGCCCATTTGGACATACAGAAAAAAAAAATGAGAAAAGATGATTCTAGGAGCTGTACAAGTGCAAGAATTTGAAACTGTGGCCTCAAATGGAATGAGATGCCTCTGTTCAGGGTCCAGTATTCCAGTTTTGCAAATGAAACCTTATTAACGTTGTTAATCAGGGTCAACACCTGATCTCGGGATATCTTTTCCTTCCGTCGGGATCAGCTGACCTCTCTCCTTCGTAACGTCATTCAAGTGGTCATTTTAGGTGTTTTTTGTTTTTTGTTTAAACTTCAGCATAAAAAGGGATGATTTCCGTCAGCTGTAGGCTTGCAGTGAGTATCGAGAAATCAAAAGAACAGAGATCAAAGAAAATTGCTGAACTGGGTGTTAGATGCAGCTATCGAGTTTTCTCCAGTTGTAGTTAAAAAACATCCACAAAAATGGTAACATATACAACAGTTGCATTGCTAATACTTTCCTAAAGCCAGTGATGGCTTCCCTCTTATTTTTGCATGTAGGAGTGGTTTTATGAGAATGTGACATAATAAAGCAGATTCTTATAGTTCTTGCAATTTTATTGCTAAAGCTATGAGAGAATCTACCAAAAAGAGGGTTTTGTGTGTTTTTTTAAACTCTGAAATGTAAAGTGCTGTTTTTAATGGAGACACCTATGGAGACACCTATAGCTAGGCTTGTTATCTCAAGAACATTTATTTGCTGGGAATCTGGAAAATTCTGACATACGATTGATCAATAGTTACTTACTATCAACAAATATCATAAAATAACAATACCTATTTGCTTTACTGATAAGACTTCATTCATGTTAAATGTTAACTACTGGTTATCAGTGTTACTGAAGGCTTCGTCAAAATATTAATTCTGTTTTCAAGTACATCAGGGATGTGTGGATTTTCTTGATTTGACTTCTAGTAGTTTCTGGAAACCAATAATGTTTTAAAATATGTGGCAAATAGTTTCCATGTTGCAATCCCGCATTTTGATACACGATTTCCAAATACTTTTAATAGAACAGTTTTTATTGAAACAGAGCAGTGGCATTATTATCAAAGGAAAAGGCAAAAAAGTTCATTTCCCTGGCATTTTATTTCTCACTGTGCTATTTCCTAGAGGTCACTAGAATTGACTTATTTTTCTTTGGGCCGTATTTGTCAATTAAATGAGACAGGCTGATAGATTTTAAAAACAGAAATACCCACAGTTCATTTTCTCAGCAGTCGGATCTTTCATATTATAGAGTACATATTATATAGCATAATGAAATAAACACTCCTGGCATTGGTTTTTGGAGATTGCCTATGGAAGCAGAGGCAGAAAGGCCCAATTGCACTGACCGTTTGATGCAATAACTTTATAAAAGTTTTATACAATGTTTCAGTGTTTAGGCAAACTCCGGCAGAGTTCATGACTTCGAACACATGCTTGGAAAACAATTTAATATTTACATATTTTCATACAGATTATGGCAAAATTAAAAATAACATTTCCACCCCATCTTGTGCTACAATGATTATTAGCCCTCAGTTCCCTGTTCCTGGTTTTTTATTCTGTTTCCGCATTTTCAACTCTATGTTTATTTGTTTTGTCTTCTTTATATCGTAGGTAGGATCACGAGACCATTCAAATCTCTCCATTCCTTCAAGAGCTGCTCTTCCTGCGGACACAGTTGGTGTGGGGGATTTTTTGCCTTTGCAAGCTGAACTGGACACAACTTACACTTTCTTAAAGGAGACATTTATAAATCCTCTGACGTCATCTCACTCCTCTTCAGCGACTATGTCTGCCAATGCCAAACGACCAACTCAGATTGGATAATGACTTTATGAGTTAAACAAACAAACAAACAAAAAATGCAGGAAGAGTTAACAGTACAATTAAAATTGTTTTGAAGGGGGATTTTTCTTATCAGTTGAATTTTGTTTCAGCGCAAGTGGCAGTGGGTTTTTAAGAATCGTGTGACATCTTGATGTGTGCAGGTACCTAAGTCTCCTTGAATAATGAAATAACCAACTCTTTTCTTTCTAAGTTTTATTTATTATCGCAGTGGCTCATTTTTATGTAACATATTTTTAAATGTTAAAGAATGACACATTTTGGGTAATTTCCTTCAGACTTAAAAAAATCAATAAGCCATTTTAGTCTCTATCTATCAAAGTTGTTTCATACTTGTCTATTTTAAAGCAGGACCGCAATACTTTAATAGGATTGAAAGAGCTATTTGAAATGTATGCCAATGATTCCTGTCATTTCATGGCAGCCCTGCCATGGTTCACTGAGCCCCCTCTTCTCTCTTGTCAGCTCGGCTGAAGACAAGCATTTAGTTGCAAACTTTAAGCAGGTTGTGCAAAACAGAAATGATGGGACTGCTTTCCCTCCTGCACAATAATGTCACTCCTGGTCAATGTGAGAAGGTCAGGTTGCTCCTTGTAAAGCTACATGATACCACTTGCCCATTTGAACAAGTTAAGTTAACTGCTGAATCCGGTCCCTGCAGGCACTGAAAACTCATCCTTTTATCAAGTCTGCATTTGATGAGGAAGTAGCACGAGCGTGCCGGCAGGATTTCTGGGGTATGGTTAGGCCCTTCCTAAGGACGGTGCCCACATGAGGAGAGCAGGTAATACGAAATAGTACGAGCTGAAAAACTTCAAGGTAATGGCTGTTTTGACCTTCAAAAGAGACTCCTTTTTTGTTTTGGTTGTTGGTAGGACCCCAGAGTGACGCCCATCTTTGATGCTGACAGAATTTAAAACAAGGCCATTGCCCTGCATTTTCTGCCTTGTAGCACACAAAAGTAAAATTGTATGTCAGGCCGAGATGTCGGGGAGCTGACAAGATGCCCCAGTGACATTTCAGCTAGAAAGAGCAAGTGTCTTGCAACCAAGTGGTCAAATATCAAATAATAGGTCAAGCAGGAAGGAGCTGAGTTCTAACCACAAAGAGGTTTCTGGTAACTTACTTGACAAGCTTTTGGGCGCTTTGTGGCTTGACAAAGTGATGTTCTGTTGGGTATCGCTAGACAGACTGTTCTTTATCGCCTTCAGAAGATCAGACATTGACATTGATTAAACTCTTTAACCCTTAAAGGTTAAATCCTTGCAGTTTGCATCATGGTAAGTGAAGAACAAAGAAATATCTGTAATATGTATTTGTTTTTGTATTAATCGTTTAACTCCCCGGTGCTATTAACTTCTGATGTGAACTGTACTTTTTGACAGAGTTTTGATACAAAATCCATATTTTATACTATTTTTCATGATGGAGTTTTTCATTATGGATACGTTAGACAATAACAGTGTATATTATGGAATCTGTCTTGTCTTGTTTTTACAGTGACATTTGATCCAAATATAATGCAACTTCTGAGAATTCTTTCTATTGGCCTTGGTAAATAAAATTTGTATACTAACTATTGATGTTATTAGCCAAATTAGCCAAGTGATGTATGCCATTGGAAGTGAAACTATGACTGTCCTACCATGTGACACAATCCTATTTCTTACAGTATTGAGCCAGCGTAAATATTTAGAAAGCTGTTTATGTGAAGTAAAATTACATCTTTAACCAAACTCTCTTAGTTCTTTCCTGGAATTATTTTTATTAACCATGCCGGGTTTTGAATATTATAGAATATACCCTGTCTAACATAACACACGGGAAATTCAACTCGCAAATTGATTGTAACGCAGAAAATATTATTGATTGTTTTTGTATAGATCATAGAATAATCTCTGCGTATTTCAAAACACTTTCTTCTGTCATTCCGTACAATGATTAAGACATTATCTGTATAGAAATTGATATACAACTTTGTAGTTTACGTGACGTCACTTCGAATTTCCACACTATAGAGAAACAGTGTTACTTTATATCACTTAACATGTCTTTGTGTGTATAGGTTTGTGTTGAATCTGTTTCCAGAGTTTACTGATTTAAGAGGAACGAGCACCTCTGTAAACTTAGCTTTGGACAGTCTTGGATTTTTCTTGCCTTCATTTTACCATCTGTTAATGGGATAACACCAAAAACAAATGTATATATCTCTCCATATATGTGGGCATCTGATTTTACAGATACATTTTATACCGTCAATTTTGAACCACATATTCAAAAAGATTATTAAATCAAATCAAATCATGTCACATTTATAACCAACTAGATGCTAAAGGCCAAAGAAACTGAAGGATGGGCCTCCTGAGTGATCATTAGTATTCACTACCAAATATAGTAATTTTTATACCATATGCTTTTTTCCCAGAAGTCAGACCCAGCAGGAGGAGAAGATTTAATGACATATCCTATGGAGATCTGAGAAACTCTAGACTGCTTCTGAGCATGTTAGTGACCAATCGCTGCGGATTTGAGATCTGTGTTCTGTTGGCAAGGACGGTTGCTCGAGCAGCTTCTTTACCTCCTTAAGAATGATATATAAAAGTAGGCATTTCTCAGGAGAATGACTTCAAATATTTTTGTAAGGGAAAGGAATTTTTCTTTACACCTTAGTATGTGGATTTTCTTACTAACCTTCTGTGATCTAGAAAAATACCTCTATCTTCCGTCACTATCAAAGGGATTCTTAAAGTTACTGTTCTGATATCTAAGTCACACTAACTCCTTGAAGCTTTGCCTGAATTTTTAATATAAGCATCTTGGAATGACATAATACAAACACTGAGGTGTAGGAGATTGTGGCAATCGCCAGTTCAATGACAATTTAAATAGCAGAATGGTAACTTTCACTTACCAATGTCTGGTGTTTTTTTTAGACTTAGCGACACCATTTATTTCACATAATATAGGCTGTTATCTAGGTCTTATTGAGATCATTACTATTTTCACATTATTTTATTTACCAATCACATCCGAATTCATTCTGTAGACCATACTGAACAATGGTAAGTCTATCCTCTATTACTGCACACTTTTTATAAATAAGTCTTTGAATATAAAAGGTGGAAAGTAACCCAGTGAGTAGTAAGCCCAGAGCTATAACTCCCAAGCCCACCTTATTTCCACTATGCCGGGCCTGCTCAAGAAATAATTAGCACTCTTTAAAGAAGAGAAAATTTTTTAAATTATCCTGCCCAGTTAGGAATAATTTTGAGAAGTGTGTTTGGTTTGAAATCTACATCACTTATCCATTGATTAGATAAGACAAAACAAAACACAGCGCACCCATCCGAATGACTAGTCATGGGAAGAATGGTGAACTTTGTACCTATCCTTCAAAGCAACGCCCTTCACTATGTTGCCTGGTATCACTAGCTTGGACTCAGACACCCCAGAAATCCTTTCAGATAAACCTTCAGTTGAAAGATATTGGTGATCAACACTCCATTGATGGTCCATAGAAAATAATGACACAGGCTAAGCAAAGCCGATCAAGAAAGCAATAACTTGTACAACTCCTAGGAAAGGGATGAGAATTCTAAAATATGTCTTTTGGACCAGTGGTATAGTAGACTGAGCAATGAGCCCAAAGACATCCACGTCCTAAATCCCTGGAACCTGAAATGGTTACCTTACATGGCAAAAGGGACTTTGCAGATGTGATTAAGAAACTTGAGATGGGGAGATTATCCTGAGTGATCTGGGTGGGCTCTAATGGGATCACAGTTGTCCTAGTGAGAGAGAGAGGCAGGAGGTGATCTGACTACAGAGAGAAGAAGGTTCTGTGCAGCTTTGAAGGTGGAGGAAGGGGCCACGCTCCTAGAACTACAGGGGCGCCTAGACGCTACAAAAGGTCAGGAGATAGATTCTCCCCTCCGAAGCTCCAGAACAGTGAGAGAATACATTTTGCATTTGTTAAACCACACTTCGGGGTAATTGGTCACAGCAGCCATAGGAAACTAAAACAACCAGTAAACTTTGAGTGTTTTTTTTTTTTTTTAACGAGATTAGTACGTTAATATTTTAATATTTCCGAACAGAGAAATCCTTCCTTCTTTTAAATTATCCTTATTCATTGCCTTCATAATTTGAATTTCTTAATTTTTTTTTAGGTTCCCATTTTATATTTCTGGCTTCTGAGTATCACAAACAGTGATGGTCTATATTAGGGCCTTTAGTCACTCAATTGCCATCATTGTTGATAATTTTACTTTATTTTTAAATTTTTTGAAGATTTGTTTATTTTGAGAGAGAGAGAGCATGAGCAGGAGGGGCAGAGGGAGAGAGAATCCCAAGCAGATCCTGTGCTGAGCGTGGAGCCCCACATGGGGTTTGATCCCATGACCCTGAGATCAAGACCTGAGCCAAAACCGGGAGTCAGATGCTCAACAGACTGTGTCCCTTGGGCACCCCCATTTTTGATGGTTTTAAATGAACCTATGATTTTAATAGGTATTTTAATTTCTACAGTATCAAAAAAGTATATTTTAATGTATAAATTTATCTTAAAGGTCCACTTTAAATGGTTGTTTTTAGGGTGCTTTGGTGGCTCAATCAGTTAAGCAGCTTCCTCTGGCTCAGGTCGTGATCCCAGGGTCCTGGCATCGAGTCCTGCATCAGGCTTTCTGCTCAGCAGGGAGCCTGCTTGTCCCTCTGCCTCTGCTTCTACCCCCTGCTCGTGCTCTCTCTCTCAAATAAATAAATAAAATCTTTAAAAACAGTAAAAGATTGTTTTTATCTGATTCCCACTTTCATTGGCATATTTGTATAGTTGTCTTACAAAAGAAATTCAGCTTGAAAGAAATTATATTAATCGTAACTTCAAGTAATGATTTGGAATTTATAAGTCATATCTTAACTGTGCCAGACCATTTTCCTTTACTAGTTACCCATGAGCTCAATATATGTCCCTGGCCATTTATCTA